CCCCCCCCCCGCCCGCCACATCGACGACATTCCGACGCAGGACACGCTTCAGGGTGCCGGTGACGCTATTGTTCATGCCGCCTCTGATTCCGACTCCGACTCCGACTCCGACTCCGGCCGCGACGACCTCGAGTGCCTCAAGAGAGTTCAGAGCCTCTACCAGCCTCTGGCCACTCTCCCACCGCTGGAGGCGCTCGTCACGGCGTCCGACACTGACGACGACGGCGTGGACGACCTCGAGACGGTGCGCGCCATTATGAGACGTTTTAATACCTACGGCGAAGGTATTATTTATTTCCGTTTTATCGCTCTGTTGAACTTGAATATTACTGTTTTCGAAATTCGAGCGTAGGTTTTAATTGCTTTCTTTCTCTTCGTAAATATATGAAGCCTGATGCGAATTCAAGGGGGGAATAATGCAACGTGCGCTAAGTAGCGGATAAAATTTAAATAGTGAAATTCAAGTAAGTGGTGATTGGAGCTGAAATTTAATTTTGGTTTTGGTTTGCTGTTAATGCTTGCTGTGGTGGGTATATTCTTAAATATGTTGCTTTTGAATGGCAATCGAATGGGTTTAGGTTGCAGAAATGTCTCTTTGAAGTGATTGTCATTTTTTGTGTTCTGAGATGATGTTTGAAACTTTGGATTGGATTTAGTTTTGCTAGATTTTGGGCTTTAATTCATCATTAAAAAACTAGGTTGTAAGGTGAGGGTGTCTATGTTTTATAAACTCTTATCAGGAGGCACTATCTCTAGTCAGTGTGGGAGTTGGTTTTTTTTTTTTTTTTTCCCCTCTCCAACAATGTATATCTATTCTCCTAGTGGTCTTGTCAGTTATCTTTTCTGGTTTCTGTTTTTTATTACTGAAAGCTTAACATGCTGACAATATCAGGTCACCTTGAAGGTGGAACAGAAACAAAGCCTGAGCGAGATCAGACCTCCAGCCTAGGATGTGAGGGTGGCATCGCTAACGGCTCAATCCATTGTGAATCAGATGGTGGTGGATTATGTCCTGTTTCTCAAGATCCTAACGAGGTTGCCACTAAGGAGTTGGCTGAGAACGCTGAAATACAGCTTAGTGATTTTGTTGAGAGTTTTGAACCTGATACCTATGAGTCAACCGGATCCCCACAGAAAAAATCTAACTTTCATCCTGTAGTTCAGTATTTTATTGATGCCATCAAGCAAAATAGGGATTTGCAGAGATTTCTTAGAAGTAAGTTGATTGCACTTGAGGCTAAAATTGAGGAAAACAAACAGATAAGGAACAAAATTAAAATTCTTAAGGATTTCCAGGCTTCGTGCACTAGAAGAACTGGGAGTGCGTTATCACTGAAAAAGGATCCACTTGTTCAGTTAATATCAGCAAAAAAGTCTACTGCTCCAAAGAACTCTAAGGTTAGTTGTCTGATGCTTTTATAGTTTGCTGAATTCTGAATTATCCTTTGTACTATTACATTGAGTATTCATGGTACTGGTCATCTATTGTATATTTATCCTGGGGTAGATTACTGGATACTATTTAAGATTCTCCTTCATCTAAAACACAAATTTTAAAATTATGAGAACTATGCTGTTATGTGTTTCATAATGGGTAATAACAAATAGTTATGGAGAATGAGGGTACTCTCCTATGAAAGCCTGGATACTTGAAACAACATGGTTACAATATGACACGGATAATGAAATTTCTCATAAATCTAAGACATAAACAGCCTAGATATGTTAACACGAATTAAAGAAATACTTTATATTGTTAGTTACTGATTTCAAATAGTGGCACTATAGTGTGCTATTGACTAGTGCTGTTCTGCTATGGTGACTACTGCACGCTATTGACTACTCTTGCTTTCCATAAATGTACTTTTGACTCTATATAAGTAAGTGCCTACTATTTACTATAGCTTTATGGAAAAACTGATTGACATTTACTGAAGTTGCCTGGTAGGTACATAATGTATAAACCACATCTTAGTAATTGAAGTGGGCGACGTGGGCTTTTAGACACCTCTCCATAGATGCCTGTTGAACCATTCAACCAATGGTGGAAACCATAGACAAAGATTCCCACCACAAACCATAGAAACAATGGTAATAGGCTGTCAGTTTTGATACCAAGTTAGATGGAATCCTAAAACCAATTGTCATTAGGTGCTGTTGCTCAATAGATATATAAACTTCATCCTAGTAGTTGAGGTAGGTGATGTGGGACTTTCCTAAGTATTGGAGCTGTATCCCATACGTTGCTCAATAAAACTAAAAGAACAACAAAAATATTTTGAAGGATACTCCTTGTATACATATGTTGGACTGTCATATGTGCATCAGTATCGAATATGGGTACAACACTGGTACTTTACCATTTGTATGAGGTTCATAGTTTCTCTCTTTGCAGTCTTTGATTAGAAGTGTGAAATTTACAAATCCTTATTTGTTACAAATCCTTATTTGATTTTGTAACATTCTTGATGATGCAATCAATTAATATTGCTAATCCTTGATTTGCCTTTTTTCCCCAGAAGAAGCATAAAAAAATACCAGCAATGTGTTATGGCCCAGAAGAGAATTCTCGTGTTGCTAATTATAGGATGGTGTTGGAAAGATTTCCGCTTTCATGGGATCGGAAAAAATGGTCTAAGGTAGAAAGGGAAAATCTTTCAAAAGGAATTAAGCAACAATTCCAAGAAATGGTGTTTCAAGTTTCAGTAGATAGATTAAGGTAATATCAATTCTGTTCTGTGATATGTTACTAAATTACTGTGCTGTATGATCTATGTGTTCCCTTCTCCTGACATATTTTGATTTTCCCCCTTCATGTACCTCCTTTACAGTTCAGAGGTTGGAGATGCAAATGACATGGATAATATAATTGCATCTGTTAAAGATCTTGAGATCACACCAGAGAGGATTAGAGAATTTATACCTAAAGTTAATTGGGATCAGTTAGCTTCCATGTATGTTGCTGGTCGTACTGGTGCTGAATGTGAATCAAGGTATATATTTCCTATTTGGTGAACTTTTCTTTTGTGTTTGTATGTGTGAAAAGATGGTTCTCAGTTATGGAAAAGTGTTTAATGTTTCTGATATTGTGCTATGCTCATGCTTCATATCATATTTGTCCTAGGAGAGATACATTGATGCTGTGTTATTGATATACTACGGATTGAACATCCTGTTATTTTATACACATAATGAGATAAGAGATGCTAACAATTTTCAAATTGAAAAGATTTAAGTAGTACTTTAGACATGCTTTTTGTGGTTTTGAAAAGAGAGGGGGGGGGACTCCTTCATTCATGGGAGGTTCAAATTGAAAATGAACTGAAAAATGTCAATCTCTTTAAAATGGTCCTGCTTATGATGACTTCATGTTGGGCGTTAAAATGCTCTATCAATCCATAGTTGGGGGGAAGATCAACTTGTCTCTTATCATGTGCAGTAGATGTGTTTAGCTGTTTCATTATCAATGTGTGCCTTATTATTAGATTTGTCCACACAGTTCTTTGAGTATTGTTACGTGTTTATTGCCTTTGCATAAGAATATCTTTTCCCTGCATTGCAGACATCTATGACGATCACCATCACAGACAGTTTACCATTTTTGAATTTCAATAAGAGTTCAAGATCAACACGTCATGCAGGTGGGGTGTACATGACATGTTTCTTAACATGGTCGTGCTTAATATGTCTGTGATGGTTGTCATCACAGGTGTCTGTTATGTAGACTATAGAATAATGCCTATATGTATGAATGGTTGGATTCCATACTTATGATTCACTATTTTTTAATGGTTGCAACTGCAGGTGGTTGAATTGTGATGATCCTTTGATCAACCAAGGTGCATGGACTAATGAAGAGGACAAGTCTCTTTTACTTGTTGTCCAAGATATGGGCATTAGGAACTGGTTTGATATTGCCGCATCATTGGGCACAAGCAGGACACCATTTCAATGCTTGTCACGATTCCAGAGGAGCTTAAATCCTTCCATGTTAAATAGTGAATGGACTGAGGAAGAAGATGCTCAACTCTGTTCTGCTGTGGCATGTTTTGGTGAGAAGGATTGGCAGTCTGTGGCTTCTGTTTTAGAACGGAGGACAGGAACCCAATGCTCGAATAGGTTTGTGAGCTATTATGTCTTATATTTTTATTTTCATTTTCTGTATGGTTGCAAGTTCATTATCTGAAATCAAATAATATTTAATGGCAATCTTTTACCCTAATTAAGACAGCAAGGAACATTTTATGTCTATTATACATTTGCTTATTTGCTTGTGATTTGAAAGTATTTTCATTTTTGAGGGTTTGTCATGTGGTCTTGAGTTTTGGTGACTTCTAGTGATTGTCAAAAGTTCAATAATTTGATTTCAGCTCAGTGTAGTTTGAACCTTAACTGCTTAACTCTTTTGTTAGTTGAGAGCGGAATTATTTTTCTGCTGTAAGATGAGCATAAATCATCTGTTATTCATTTATTGACACAAAACAATAATATCCTACCCTGTTGTACAACCTGGTTTCAACTGGGAGGGAATATCTGGTTACATCTTTAGGATGCTTTTTTGTTTTTTTTAATAATATTTTATATATTTTTATTTATGTTTTTCTGGAGGTTGAATTGTTTTATATACAAATACAAGTAATGGTGTCCTCCTATTGGTTAAACTTTGAAAAAGTACATTACTTTTAACTTGTTTCTCACATTGCATCATAAACCCATCCAAATTTCGAAAGTGATCTGCTTCCATTTCTTCATGATGGGAAGGAAAGAATATATCCATTCAGAATAGTTTAAGACTCTTTCTTTATTTCCTTTGTTTCTTTTACAAGGTTGCTTTATGTTAAAAACAAAAGAAAGTTGTATGCATATTATTGAAACTGAAATGACACTATTAATGGTCCCTGATATTGAAAGCTTAAATTTCTCTAACTGTGTCTGGTTCTATAAATTGACATTGATTCAAGTATATTGGAGAACTAAAGAAGCTTATTGCTGGCCGCATTTTGTCTGTTGATGCAGATGGAAAAAATCCCTTTGTCCCGACAAGAAAGGGAGCTTTACATGTGAAGAGGATATACGCTTAACAGTAGCAGTCATGCTTTTTGGACGGAAGTGGAATCTAATAGCAAAATATGTTCCTGGCCGGATCCAATCTCAGTGTAGGGACAGGTAATGCATTATATTTAAAAAATTTGGTGACAATTTTCTTATGGCCAAAGGTTTCCTTTTAAAGTTCTTGATCTTGAACATTCTCATGACAGATACCTCAATAGTCTGGATCCTTCTTTGAAATGGGGTGGATGGACTGAGGAAGAGGATTTAAGATTAGAAACTGCAATTGCCAAGCATGGATACTGCTGGTCTAAGATTGCTGAAGAAGTGCCTCCCCGTACTGATTCTCAATGCCGGAAGTATGAGTTTGAGTTAACTTCAATGATAAAAATCTGTTTTAAAAATCTTTAGTTTCTGCGATCTTATATGTATTCTTTTTATTGATCAGGAGATGGAAGGTGATATGTCCTGAACAAGTTCCTTTGCTTCAAGAAGCCAGAAAGAAGCAAAGGTCTGTTATTGGTAGTAACTTTGTTGATAGAGAATCTGATCGCCCAACCATTACATTGAATGACTTTCTACCTTTAAATGCTTTAGCCCCAAAATCTGATGATGTTGGTGCTTCAAATCGCCGGAAGAAGGGCAAGTCAAGGTACTCCCTCTTTAATATCCCCTTGATTCTTGGCAACTTACAGACATGATGCCAGCTTTGTTTTTAGCATATTATTCTGGTCATAGTGTTTGAAATTGAATACTGCTTCAGGTATACCGTATACCTTTGTTTTCTAATTCTCATTCGTTGCGTGCAGCAATGTTCCCAAGAAAACGAGTTCGAAAAAACGTGCCAAAAGAACTCGACTTCGTGCCAAGGAAGTACAAAATACAGATGTATATAGCGATGATGAGATCAAGACTTGTGATGAAGAAGGCCCAGACTCTGCATGCAGCAATGTTCGCAAGAAGATGAGGCCCAAAAGACATGCAAAAAACACTCGACGTTGTCCCAAGGAAGTAGTGGATACATCATGTAGTGACAAGGTCAATTCTACCTGTATTGCAAGTTCTGAAAATCAAGATTCGGACAAATCAAAGAGATTATCTAGAGTTGGAAATGAAGATTTGTTTGAGAAGCAGAATGATGCTTCTGACAGACAAGTGGGAAAACCAGATGATGCAAACACTTTGACCAGTGATGATGATGATGGTATGACCCATGCATGCTTTGTGGGAAACAAACCAAAGAAAGGGAGTCAAGCTGCTAAAAAACGTTGTGCACGCTCTTCTTCCAAATTGAAAAAGGGTTATGCGTTACTTCGTGAAGGGCGTTGTGCAAGCAAGCCAACCAACAAATCTGATGACAGTGGGCCATCAGTGTCAAGGCATGTTGAAGAGGAGACTGTTCTGCATGGCGGTGTTGCTGAACGCATGGACATCAATGTGGAAGAAGATGATGCCCTGCTTTCTTCCTTCTTGCAAAGCAGGCCCAAGAGACAGACAAAACGCCCCAGTAGGTATTTATAAAGGTAGTGTTAACTATCCAAATTGCTTAAAAGTTGTGCTGTGAAATTGGGTAGTGGCCAAACCATATACATATGTTTTGAGTTGTTGAAAGCCCACTTTGAATTTGAAGTTGTTTTATAGGTACAGTTAGATTCGAGTTTAATTATGCTTAGCTTGGGCCTGTATAGTGTATATAGAATATAGATTTTCAGCCTGGCGCATTTTGTAAACTGGAGTGCCAGAAATCTGTTCCCATTTTATAGTGTTAAATATCTCGAGCGTCAACTGTGAAACGTTTGGATTTTGTATTGGTTTTCATCCACTGTAAAACTTTGTTTAAACTGGAAAAACCAGCGAGTTGGTCTGCTGTGTTGTTTCAGAATCATCAATGAAGAAAGAAGAATCATACAAATCATTTCAAAACCGTAGTATACAAGTTATTAAACTCATGCGCTGGACGACTATTAATTATTAAATCTATAATTTATAATTTTTTTTATATTATTATATTTTTTAATGTACCTTTTTTTTTTATATTAACTTATTTAGAAGTTAATTTAAGATTATAGAGAAACCGATTTTAATTTTTCTTCCTATTTTTTCTCCAACAAGTATTTTCTAGAAAAAAATATCTTAACATTCTCACAAAGCGACAATTCAGGGCATTAGCTGAAACTCTCTTGCCTGCTAATGGTGAAAGTTGGCGGTAACTATACAGTTAAAACCGAAACGGAGGTTTACAGGTAATAATTATGCTAAGTCGAGCATTAATTAAAGGTACATATGCAAGTCTGGAGTACCCTCAAGCGGATACTTAAACTTGTTCCCTATTTTACATGAACTGCATCCATACAATTTAATCTTCATAGCACTCAGTCATGAAACATGGATCCACTGTGGCATTTTATTAGCAAACAGTGGATAGACAACCCAAATAAAGAGGAAAATTTAGACAACAAAATTAATATTTCATTCCATTATTTTCAAAACCTGGTTAAAAAGCCAAAAGTTTTATTTTTCCTTTTAAAAAATATCCGACCATGTCACCTTGGCAAATAATTTTAAATCTTCTCTCAAGTAAAATTAATATAAAATCATATTTTACAGAAAAAAAAAATTAAGATAATACAAGTCATTTAAATTAATATAAAATTATTTAAATGTCTATTTTTTTATATAGACACACACTGACATATTATATAAAATTAAAAATACATTAAAAATCAAAGAGTGCAAATTAACTCGCGGATAATTTGCTTTCATAGATGATAGTAAATAAATATTGGTTAAGAAATGTTCTCTACGAATCCAAAAGAAAAAAGGAGGGTTAAGTACATTATAAGATGTCATTCGAAGAAATAAAAAATGTCTCATATAAGCTGATAGGAGCTTTTAAGAACTTCTATACTAAAATTAAAGAATATCTTTTTAGTAAATTTTTTTCAAAAACTCTTTCAAATTTTTAATTAATTTCTTACTCTTTTTTTTTTTTTTTTTCTTTCTTTCTTTCTTTTTTGAGTTATTATTATTTTTTATTTCTTGTTTCTTTTTTGATTATTTTTTTGAGTTCTTACATTTCTTTCATGAGTTCTTTGTTTCTTTCTTGTATTTAAATAGTTACCTACTTTCAACAAAGGCTTGTTAGCTAACAATTAAAATCTGGCTCAAAGGTCGAATTGATCCGACAAAGACACAAGTAGCACACCGTTTTGAGTTAATAAATCGATCGGTTGTATATCTAATTCGATAGTAACGTTATCAAACTAGTATAAATCTAATTAATTGACCACTACCATATCAACTTTTGTGATTATACTTTGATAAACATAATATCTATATTAAATATAAATATCTTTTTTTTTTATTGATAATATTTCATGCTTTTGATTAACTTATTATGTTTATTTTTTTATAGTAAAATATTTTGCTATTTATTTTTTCATTAAAAAATATATAAGATAATTTTGGATAAAATGAAACTTGATCTTAGATGAATATGATTATTTATCACCTTAGTGACTACTATACCAATATACTTTATTATTATTTTTTTATAAAATATACTTTATTGTTATACAATTAACTTAAATAATTGATATAATATATTTTTAATTTGAAGTTATATATTTAATTATATTAATTTATGCGGTTCAAAAACCTACTACAAAATTTTCAAATAGTTAATTGATCACAACTTACATAAACAACTTATCTATGATTTCACTATTCTCAATATTTTATACATCAGCATTTGAAGACCCAGATCAAGTATTGTTTTATGGGTGCAACCATGCAAGGCAAATGACCAAAATTCATCCAATTGCCTCTAACCCTCTCCTTGGGAGAGGGAGGAGGAATTGAAAGGAAAGGGAGAGAACTAGTGAGAATTGATTTGATAGGAAATAGAGTGAAATTTGTAATTGATAGGTAAAGTGAAATTAGATAAGAAATATAGTGAATATAGTATATAAATAAGTATTGCTTCCACTATCTAAAGTTTCTCAATCCGTCATTAGGACTCATCATTTTTTCTACTCAAATACCCCTTAATCCCCTCTACCAAGCACATGTGCTTTTTGAATATATCCATTAATCTTTCCCTTTTTATGAGAATCCCTCCTAAATTACCGTCGTCAAGCGGCAATTAAATGATCAATGAAAGCTGATTCTTTATCCTACTATCTAGCAAATCATCTCTACATCTAGGGATGGCAAAAATACCCGCACTCGCGGGTATCTGTGGATAAAACCTGCTATGGATAATAAATGGATAGGTTAATTGGGTACTCGCAGATAATGGGAGCGGATAATTTTTTACCCGTTTATAAATCGGGCGGGGGCGGGTATGATGATATCCATACCTGCGGGTACCCGTTTAATATTATTTCTTAAATATCCTAATTATCCTTGTACCACATAACCCTAAAACTACACTCTCTCGTCTTATTTTCTTATAAAAGTGAGGTTGATGAAGTTATCTACATGTGTTAAGCATGTTATAGAATTATGTTGGATGTAATTTGATTAATTTTCTAGCTTTGATTAGACCAATAAAATTTATGTATTTTAAGTTATTTACTTTCATTTGGAATTATGAGATTGAATTATTGTAGCTTTGTGATGAGACTTTAACTTACTTGTGAGATTGATGTATTTTAAGATTGATTATCTTGAATTTTTATTATTATTTCAACAAAATTAACATTAAATAAAAGTTCAAAATTAACATTGAATTTTTATTTTTAATATTTCAATAACATTAAAATATAAACTTAAAATTATTTGTAATATAATTTTTTTAATTTCTTAAAAATTTTATAAAAATATCCATGGATATTCGTGAATATCCATGGGTATTCAAGAAATTCATGGATACCTGCTTAATGGATACCCGCGCGGATATGGAGTGAGTATGGGGCCAATTTTCATTCAGCGAGGCGGGGGCAGGTTTACTATTACCCGCCCCCATGGGGCCCATTACCATCCCTATCTAAATCCAAAACTTATTTTTTTTTTTGCAATAATTTTGGTGGAGAGGTGTTGGAACTCAAAAGATTTCTGAACTTGCCAACAGATGGTTTGGACCTTTGATTTGAAAATCTCATCAACATTGGATTTCCCAAGATCAAACTAATCCTTTGTCTGATGGTTTTGATAAGAGTTCGAAGGAGTTGTCATTGATATTTTACACAAAACATCGAAAAAAGAATGGTTTCGAAAAGTCAACTATGACCTTCATAGCCTGAGTTGAATTCGGGGATTGGTTACGTGTAGGAAAGGTATTAAGCACCCTACGGCGTCGAAATTTGGTACCCTTAACATGCTTTTATAAGCATTTAGGGAAGGGGAATGGTGATTCCCAATATTAGAATGACCGTTCCGTGCCTCAGTTTTACACCTAATTAGGTCAAGTGGAATGTTCATCCAGAGCCATGTGTTACAAAGGGGGAATGACTGTTCCGCCTCTAGAAACGGTCATTTCAGACCTATGGTTAGGGTTTTGACCCTTTTTTGAGCCTCTCAGACTTCTCGTGCTTCGTCTTGGCCCATTTTTGTACCTTTCTCGGCCCTCAAGGGTCGCTCTTCTTGTTTCAGCTATTGATAACTGCGAGTGTCAAATCACAATTGATAATTTTTCAACTATTATCTTTTAAACACTCACATTAAGTTCATTCAAAGCATCAACAATATGTTTCCATGCCTCCAACATATAATTCATAACCTCTTGAACTCCTATAATGTAGGTTAAGGTGTAACTCAACTTTATATAATCAATTTGTAAGGTGACAGTTATTCTTACTTATATTTTTTTTAATTGTTTTTATCTCTAATAGATATGAGACTTAAGATTTTCCTTAAATATTAATTAGATTATGTCCTCAAAAAAAAAAATTCATTCATTATATTGAACTACAAAATTATATTAACTTTAAATATTCAATACTCTAAAAAAAATATTTAGTTTTTATTAAATAATTTTATTTTGAAAATTATCTAAATAAAACTTAATATCATTAATTTGTACATTTAATTAAAATAAAAGTTTAATCTACTAATATTTTAAATTAATTAAAATTAATTTTAATGAAATATTTATAATTAATTTAGTAAAATAATATCTTGTTAAGTAAATACTTTTAATTTTTAAA